ATTGAAAGTATAAAAATATTATTAATTAATTAATACAAAAAATAATTTTATTAGGTGTTTTTTTAATAATTTTAATATTAAAATTGTACCAAAAAATATAAACTATACTAGAAAAACATTTTTACAGAAAGTATAATTGTATTTTATACATAATATTTTTTAGTGCAGAATTTAGGAGTTGATCAACCCAAAAAGAAAAAAAAAAGTGCACAATTGAATTGGGAGACCAAATCAAATTTATGCAACACCTTAAAAGGTGTGTTTGGCATGGAAACAATAAATTTTTCTGTCTATTTAGGAAAGTTTAGAAATATTTTAAAATGTGTACGCGTTAGTATAATAAATTAATGAAAAAATTGACTTCTTAATTTTTTTTTAACTCGAAACAATTCCAAACAAACAATTTTCTCTTCTCATGGTTTTTTTTTTTTGAAAGAAACAAATCAAACAATTTTCCCTCCAACTTTTTAATGTGGATCTTTTGATAACTTTCTTGCAATTTTTTTAATATTAATTTCTTTGATCAAACATAAAAAACCTAACAACTTAATAAAATCTTAACAAAATTTTATTATAGAAGTTATAACTTTTGTACATAATTTCTAACTTTTCTTATAGAGTGTTTGTTTTAATTTTTTTTAATAAACAATTATTAAGTATTAATTGTAATTAAATAAATTAAATATTATAAATTATAAATAAATATTATTTTTTTTGAACTTTTTTTGTCATAAGATGAGTTTAAAACTCATCTATAAACGGAGATATGTACTTTTTCAATTACATTAGTTATTAGACCACAAGAACCGAATGCAAATAAATATTATTAATTATTAACTATTCATTGCATAAAAAAAATTAACCCCAATAGCGGCTATTAAAATTGTCAGCTAACAAACAGCATCTAAAGTTGAGGGATAAGAAGGCAATTAATGGACACACAATTGAGCAGAGCCCTTTTTCATTTCACCCCTGCGTTTATAGATGTGTTGATGGTGGACAGATACTGGTTTCTGTCCATGTCAAGGGGTCTATCTTAGTAGGTAAAACAAATACGTAAGTTCTACTTAAAAAAAAAAAAATCAACGAATTTAATAATTTAATAATAATTTTCTTCAATTAAAAGTAAAAAGACTTTAAATTTGAGCAATATGATAAGTGAATGAGGTAAAATAATAAATGTGAGATGGTTAATTTTCATTATACAACTAAAATAAAAAAAATTTTCTGCCCAAAAAAAAAAGGTGAAAAAAAAAGAGGCTCAACTCCAAGCATCTTTAATCTGGTTTTAATTGCTTGGTCTTAACGGGCCTATTGATTCCAATTAGTCTTTTAGATCTTGGCATTTGTTCATGTTAGGAATTAATAATTTTTGGAGGAAAAAGAAGATCAAAATGTTTTGATATTAAAAATATCAAAATATTTGATCACAATTATTAAATATGTAAAGTATAATATAAATTATAAATTTATCAAATTTATCATATAGTTATTATTAAATATTTTAATATTTTTAATATTAAGATATCATGATTTTTCCTTTCCTCAAATCTTTATATCCCCTACAAAGATTAATAAGTTTCAATTGTTTAAATGGTTCAATTTCAGTGTCTAAAATGTTTCTCTATTAATTGATAACTTAAATAATTTAATAATAATTTATTTATAATAATAGTAAAAAAATTTTAATTTAAATTATATAACATGTAATAAATAAATTAAAAAATAAAAAAATCGTTACTTTTTTTTTTTAGATAATCAAGATAAAAATATTAAAAATACTTCTTTATCCTTTTGAGTTCAAATTTGTGATCCCTCTCCACTGTGCCTTTCCTTCACAAGGTTAAATTGAAGTATTGAACCACTTGCTCCATATATGAAAAAATAATGTTAAAAAAAAAAGAAATGAGGAGTAGGAACGGACAATGGAGAAAGCACCACATGTGGCAGGAATGAGACAAATGATTGTGAATTAGTTAACAGGGAAATTAGTTGGCCTGCTCCCGTTGATAAATGTGATTCTGTTTTACTTTGACTCAAACAACCCCCAAACTCAAAGTACCATTCTCCTCCCTTTCTCCCCCAGGTGCCAGCCCAGGAAAAATTTCTCAACTTCCAGGGTGTTCTTAGCCCAGAAATTCAGACTCGGAATTCAGGAGATAAGGAAAATGGGTGTATCAATTCCATTTAAAGACCAGCCTCATACTACCTCCCTCACAAGGAAGCTTTTGCCCTATACCGTTTATGCTCTGCTCCCCATTGCTATCTTTCGTTTGTACTTTTACCCTCTTCCCTTCCCTCAACCCTCCACGGATCAGCTCCCCAGGAGTGACCGAGTTATCCTCTCTGCATCTGTGCCTTCTTCTTCATCTTTTTCTCAAGGTACATTCTTTCTAAAATTGGGTGTCTTTTAGGTGCTAAAGTTGATTGCTTTGGTGTGTTGGATTTTGGATTTTGCAATTGACAAGAGTTTTTCTCCTTTTGTTTTTTCGTTTTTGGTCTGCAAAAGAGAAAATTGTTAATGAAGCTCCATGTGATTACACTAATGGCAAATGGGTACATGACACGGTGGGGCCTTTATACAATGGCACAACCTGTGGTACAATCAAGGATGGCCAAAATTGCATCACCCATGGCAGACCTGACTTGGGTTACCTCTACTGGAGATGGGAACCCAGACGGTGCAAGCTCCCAAGGTTTGGTCCCAACACTTTTCTTCAACTCCTTAGTAACAAGCATCTAGCTTTTGTGGGTGACTCCATGGCTAGGAACCAATTGGAGTCACTTCTTTGCATGCTTGCCACTGCCGCTACCCCTAACCTTGTCTATAGAGATGGGGAGGATAACAAGTTCCGTAGATGGCATTTTGCTTCTCACAACATTACTATTTCAGTTTATTGGTCACCATTTCTTGTCAGAGGTGTTGAGAAATCAAAAACTGGTCCGGATCATAATGAGTTGTTTTTGAATCATGTTGATGAGAGATGGGGGAATGATTTAAACCAAATAGACATGGTTGTGTTATCTATTGGGCACTGGTTTCTGCACCCAGCAGTTTATTATGAGAATGACTCAGTATTGGGTTGCCATTTCTGCCCTGGACTCAATCATACTGAGATAGGATTTTATGGTGTCTTGAAGAAGGCCTTAAAAACAGCCCTTAAGAGCATAATTGAAAGGAAAGGGACTAATGGGAAGTGGGCTGATGTTATTGTGACCACATTTTCACCGTCACATTTTGAAGGGGATTGGGATAAGGCTGGTGCTTGTCCCAAGACACAGCCTTATAAGGAGGGAGAGAAGTTACTTGAAGGAATGGATGCTGATCTGAGAAACATTGAAGTTGAAGAAGTGGAAGCTGCTAAAGAGATTGCTAAACAATTTCAAGGGTTGAGGGTAGAGGTGTTGGATGTCACCAAGCTGTCGCTTATGAGACCAGATGGTCACCCAGGGCCATACATGTATCCATTTCCATTTGCAAACGGGCTTCAAGAGCGTGTGCAGAATGATTGTGTACATTGGTGCTTGCCAGGCCCTGTAGATACTTGGAATCAGATACTATTAGAAATTATGAGGAGATGGAGGTTTCAATCATGGGTCGAGGAATGATTCGTTACAATATCAAAACAATGACTTTGTTTTACTTTGCTGTGTTGCGCTGCTTGGTTGGTGCATATTGCTTCTGCATAACATGCTAAAGAAATGAAGAGAATCTTTTCGGACTCTCACATGAAGACAATGAAATGAAAAGGTCCTGTTATTAAGGTGAATGAGATTGGAGAAAGATGATGTTTTGTTTGGAATATTTATTGCTTTTTTGTTCAAATGTGTACAAATGATAATTTGTAGAAGTAATTTAAAGATACATGGTAATTTATAATTTGTAGAAAGATAATTTATTTGCATTCATTTGTGCCTACAGTTTTTTATGTTTAGGAATTACATTTCTATGTTGCTTTAAGTCTGGAATGTGACCCTATTAGTCAGAATCTTTTAATCTTTTTCTCTCTCTCTCTCTTTTTTTTTCGATAATAAAATCTTCTAATTTCTTAGTTAAATTTGAATTTTATTATCCATTCTATGTTGCTTGTTTAGATGCATAAAATTGTCATAAATGAATGATCCTACATACACAAAATGGCATTGATTCCTTTATACAAGTTTTATCTTGAGATTATGTAAGTAAACTATGAATCCTTGATTGGTAAAGGTAGTACTTACTACCACCTACCTAAAGTCTAATTTTATTTGTTTTTGAGACTAACCTAAGCTAGCAGCCAATGAGAGTTCTCTTTCAAGTCAAAGGAGGGTGGCTTTTCTTTTTGTTTGCTCAGGAATGGCTAGCTATGGGGAATCCAAAGAAACTCTTTACCTATCAAGCATGAGAACGGAGAGGAACAGAGCAGCAATGTTTAATGCTTCCAAGTTGACAAAGTTGGTGGATGGTGAGCAAAGAGGAGTAAGTAAGAACTTCCCTTTTCCAAAGAAGGAAAAGTAAGTTAGTGTTTCCCACGGACGCCATTCCTCATGTCAGCAGCACTGATATTCAGTTTCCCACTCATTAGCCCAGTCTGCTTGTTGCTATAGTGGAGAGAGGGAGAAGAGGTGAGGGGCTGCTTGAGCTCCAAATGCGTATGTATTGGAAGGAGAATAGTGTTAAACCACACTCCTTGCTTCTTTAATCCAAAAATTCAATCAAGTTAAACCCGTGATGATATGAACAAGTTCAAAAATCAGAATCCGAATGATATTGTGTGTAAAGACCCGACTGTGCACATCACTAGCATTAATGCCACTTCTTGTTTGAATTCATATATCAACTTAGGAATTTCCAGAAAGCCACACCTTCACTAGATTTTTTCAGCATGATGTGTTGGTACAAAGTGGGCCACAAAAATTCTAACCAACCAAAGGTTAACATGTGTTCGACAGTTCAAGATATTTGGTGTGATCAACTACTTGATTTTGTGGCAGAGGCCGAGATGCTTAAATGGAACCCCACAAAAAAAGAAAAGGAAAAATGCAACATGGTAAGGGGCGAAATAGCACGGAGAGAATGAGAGCAAAGTAGATAGGAGCTCTAATAAAGAAAAATATAAAATATAAAACATGTTACCAGTATAACAACAAATGTATGAAGAATACAGTAAAGTAACAATCAACGCAAGAGCTAAATGAGGAAACAAATGACAGCAAAAATGAGCAATCATCAACAAGGAAACAACAAAAGAGGATGGAAATTATTTGTCATAATTGAGCAATGGTCATAATGCAGAATTGAGCAACAGTCAAAATAACACTCCACTGCATAATCCTCTACGGTGTATAAACATGTCTTGTAAATATATATGCATATATATAAATGTCATTGTACAAAACATCAAGAAATCTGAATACAATTTAGTATTCTCTATTCTATCATTGTTTTCAATTTCTCTTTAGTTACGCCATTGTTTTGACAAGATGGAGGTTCTCATAGCTTGATTGACGGGTAGGAAGGGTTAGAAGTGATCTTTGGTGGGAAGGAGATACTATGATGTCAAAATTTTAGTTGCTAATATTAATATCTAGAATTGTGGTGATATAAACAAAACTAACTTGGGTATTTCCCAAGGTATAAACTATTAGATTTCCATAAAGTGATTGATTTTTTTAACTCTAGCAAACAAATTCACAATCAAATAAATAAGAACTATTTTACAATGAAAAAAAAAATCGGATAAAGGATCATTGTTGTAAACAAGCGCAAGGAAGAAACCAAAAAAGTAAACATAGATTTCATGTTTATAAATAGCTAAAATGAAAGGAGAAATGCATAGTAGGCAACAAAAGAATGAAAAGCAAGATGTGAAATTTCAAGAAAAGAAGCATCATACCTCCAAGGGGATGATAATGGTGAGAGCTCCATCCTCACTCCTCAGTGCAAACAAAGAGAAACAAAAATCTTCAGGTCCGAAGATTTTAGTGAAAGAAGACTAATTGATCTTATAAGCATTTGCAGAAGTAGTTAGTTTTTTTCCTTCTTTTTCTGTTATTGTTAGTTGTTGAAACTGGCGGGATTTCAACCAATTCCAAACTGAGGTAGAAAAACGACACCGTTTATAACGATTTTGTGCAATCCAGGGAAACGACGTAGTTTTCGTTGAATGGTGATCCTGGAATTTATCTGATCAACTGATTAAGTTTTCGAGTCTCCGCCTACCATATTTCCATGGCTGCAGCACTCTCACTGTCTCTCTGCTTGGATCCCCAAAACCTCCATAACCAGAAGCTTACCCACCTCAACCCTAACAAAGCGTATCCCTTTCTAACATCCAGACAACCCCTTTTTCCCCTTCGTCAATTTGACGGGTACAATTTCAGGTCTTCTGTTTCCTCCCCCTGCTCCTCCGCCGACTCTGCCTCTCCGTCGACATTCTACTCCTTTCAAGATGAACCATTTCGAGTAGGCCGGTTCTTGAGCAATGAAGAGCTCGAAAAGCTCAAAGCGCTTGAGTCTTTTGTGTATTTCCAGGAACTGGAATCTGGGTCGATGTGGGTTCGGGCCATGAGGCCAGAGGATATGGATTCGACGGTTCGGTTGCTGGCTGACTCGTTTGCGGAGTCAATGTCGTTGCAATTCGAGGCTCTGTTGAGGTTCTTGGTGAAGCAGTATTTGATTGAGAGGAGAGGAGTGATGCCGCATGCGGTTACGCTGGTGGGGTTCTTTAGAGAGCGAGGTAGTGAGGAAGGGGAAGAGGAGGTGGCGGGGACCGTGGAGGTTTGCTTTGATAAGAGGGGCGCTAATGCTTCTCCTCCTACGCCTGCGCCTCCCAAGAATTCGCCTTATATCTGTAACATGACTGTCAGAAAGCCGCTCAGAAGGTATGCATTAGACTAGTTGGATTCAAATTAAGTATTGTTCTGCACATTGTTTCTCTTTTCTGTTGGAACGGTAAAGTGCTGAATGCTTCAAAATACTAAGAAAGGAAAATATTTTGAGGATTAGAGTAATCTCACAACTAAGAAATTTGTTCCTTTTCACTTCTTCTCAATAGTAAAACTAGTAAAAGAATATAGAAACTTCCCATTTCCTTGTCTCCAAAATTAGAAAGAGAAATTGAGCTGGGATTGCATTGATCAAGCATCCTGAAATTTGCAGTCAGCTATAAGGATATCAAGGGAGTATTTAAGCTCTTTGCTTTGTAATTTGTATTCGTCTTGTTGGACGGTAAAGATTTGTGGACAAGGCATTAGATGTTTTAACTTCTTGTAGATTTCTTGTTTTGTTTAAAGATTTTGTTAGGATTGTTTTTTAGTCTGTGTGTTTAGTAATTCTCTGTGTATGCTTTCCAAACTTTTAGGAAGGGCATTGGTTGGCACCTTCTTAAGGCAAGCGAGGAACTGATATCTAATATGACTTCCACAAAAGAGGTTTACTTGCATTGTAGAATGATAGATACAGCTCCGTTCAACATGTATATAAAAGCAGGATACGAGATTGTGAGAACAGATAGTATCTTGAGCCTGTTGATGTTGCAGAGACGCAAGCACTTGATGTGCAAAATGCTTCCTGTCTTTTCTAGTTCTCAAGAATCAGATATGTCAGACTCTGATGAGGAACTTCCTTCATGAAGGGATAAAATCCAAATGATAATCTTCCAAGGTACATACAGTTTACCTCACTAATGTTACTAATGGGTTTATAAACTTATAAATATTTTCTGACTTCTGCATGTGAAGATACTATGAACTTGGATCTTAATTGCAATTTCTCTTGTTCAGGATGTAATGGAATCAGCTTGTAATGTTTGTCCAACTTACCCATATTTCTTGCTACAAACTCAACTGATGTTCCAGTCCAATATCTCCTGCTTTTAGTTTTCTGTATGAGATAACACAACATGTTACAGGTAAACTGCATTAGTCTTCAATGTTTCACATATTGTCAAATCATAGTCATAAAACAGCTTTTATTTCTCTTTATTTTTCTTTCCTGATACAATTTCAAGTTATTTTATACATTGTACATTTTTAACTTTTTTTTATGAATATTGTACATTCTTAATTTGAACTTGTAAAACAGGAACGGGGAAAAAAGAATATTATTATATTGCTTCTAATTTGGTTGGTGGTGCAACGCAATTGAAGAGGTCCTCTATCGTTATCAATTTATTTAGGTACACAATACATAATATTGTCTTTATTTATAAAACACATAACACATAGAGATAGATGCTTTAAGCAAAACATTTAGGAACAAAAGAGTGACGCTTGGCTAGAAGTGAACATGCTGGGAATATTTCTTTCTTATCCTTTACCTCTCTCACAGTTCTTCACCACAAAATCATTACTGTCTGATCATAGGTCCAGATTTCTTTTGTACATTTCACTCAGCTACTTTCTCCTTTTCCAGGTCCCTTGTCAAATGGGGACATGGTAACATTGATTTCTCATAGGAAAGAAGATCCTTATATATTGTTGATGCAATATAGTTTCACTGCCGACTGAATATTTGAGTTTCTTAAACCATCCTAAAAGCAGGCATGACCTTGCCTAGACCTTTGAAATTTGTGTAGGTTATCAGTTGGAGCTCCTTTACACATTCATCCATTGAGGGTCTCTCACCACTCTCTACACGGACACAGCGTGATGCCAGGTTTGCAAACATAGCTATAGATTCCATGGTGTATGAACTCCTGGCCATATCTGGATC